TAGCAGTATAACATAGAATACAAAAATAATTAGATACAAATATTTAAATCAGTCCAGCGACAATGTGAAAAGTGTGTGTGTGTGTGTGTGTGTGTGTGTGTGTGTGTGTGTGTGTGTGTGTGTGTGTGTGTGTGTGTGGAGCAAAGCTGTCTGGTCCGAGTCGTGTCACAGTCTGTGGTCTCCACTGCTGTTGTACAGTCTGATGGCAGCAGGTACAAAGGAATGCCTGAAGCGCTCCGTTCTGAATCTGGGTGGAACGATCTGGTGGCTGAATGAGCTGCCCATCTGCCACAGCTCGTCATGGTAACGTTTTCATCACATATGATGTAGGAGCCACAGATCTGCAGTCCCTGAAAGTGCCGCGATGTCCGGGAGGTCTTCCATAGTTTATGCACCTTCCTCAACCTCAAGGAAAGATTGATGAGGTGCTGGAAGACTTCTGCAGGCTGCCCTGCACACGCTTTAGGTACCTCTGTTGGGTCAGGACAAGAATTTATGAGTCTATATCACTGACAGTATGTATAATGGACAGAGCTTCTGGGTATGTGAAGTGTCTTAAACCTGCATTCTATCTAATGGCCAGCAGGAGGCAGCTCCATTGGCCGCATTAAAAACCAATACCATGCAGTCTTATGGAGAAATGAGCCGACTTCTGACTTGATTTATGAGTTCAGTAAACTTTTTTCTCATGAGTTTATGGTCTCAATCTCCAGATCCATACAGCATGATGTTCATTTAGTAAATTATGGTTCCATTTAGAGTAAAATAGACCATAAATCTGCCATGTTTCTACAGTAGCCGAGAACATACAAACCAAACACTGGCTCTAGAGAGACTTTTGCTGCCACTGTAGTTTCTCCTGCACACCGTCCTCATTCCCAGGCTGTCCAATAAAGACACAAGTGGTGCTCAGTTAGTAATCTGAATTACTGTATAATAACCATATCATTAATGTAAAATAAATATTCAGATACATTAAGAAAACAAACAAACACGGAAACTTCAAGAAAATCTGTTAATAATTATTGCAAGCTGTCATATCACTGATGTGAAATTAATCTGTAAATATATTAATAACTCTGTTAAATATTTATGTTATTTGGAGATGCTGATGATGAGCAACCTTTCCATCTATGTCACAGTCTCTCCCTCTCTGAATCATTTCTTCATTAAAAAACATTTCCCGCTGTGTCTCCTCTCATACTGGGATCACAGGATCATATTGGATTTAGCTGTTGACAGACACACACACACACACACACACACACACACACACACACACACACACACTTGATATCTGCTGCTTGCATGTCGATGAATCTCATCCACAGATTGTAGACTTACCTTTCATAGCACTGCACTGTAATCTGTGGTTGTCATTCACTAACGTGGAGTGTGTGTGTGGTTGGAAATCAGTCAATATTTCTGTTCCACAGAAGTGACGCAGTCATTGTGTCACATGTCAGTTTCTCTCTCTCGCTCTCTAATTGAATATAAAGTGTAGCTGAACATCACAAATTGAAACCAAATCCAATAATAAACTGTAAGAATACTATATTATCAGTACAAAAAACTAACTTTAGTGCATCGCAGAGGTTTGTTCAGGCTGTCTCAGGTTGAGCAAACACACTCACATTCAAGCCAAAGACAATTTAGAGCCTCCAGGTCACCTAACCTGCATGTGTTTGGACTAGTAGTAACGTAAAATATTACTAAGTTGTGATGCATGACTAAAATCTTTGCTGACTAAAAACAGCATTTTTTCTGCCACACAGTCATTGTTTCATTATCTGCAGCCATGTTGCGACACAGTGTTCTAGTAAAGACCTAATTTCTGAATATGATATTTCAATATTGATTGTTGCTGCAGTGGGCTGTTGGGACGCCAAGTGGCTCATGTCATAAGAAAGCTAATGGCACAGTAACCATGGCGATGGAACGCAATCTTTGATGACTTCATCCAATCCAATCCAACTTTATTTGTTAAGCACTTTAAAAACAACCAAAGTTGACCAAAGTGCTGTACAGGAGAATAAATAAGACATCATAAATGTAAACAGTGATGATGATGATGAAGACCACTGTGAGGAATATGGACAGTGATGGCGATAACACTGGAAGTCCGACGGCGACGAGCTCGATGTCCGGGCTGCAGACGCTCTTTCACACAGTCGTGCCCGGCGTTACACCACCTGTTGTTTATGAGCATGGACAGTCCCCCTCCTTTCTTCATGCCGGTCGCGGTGGTGTCCCTGTCGGCTCGAACCATCTGGAATCCGGGAATGGTGACGTTGGAGTCCGGTATCTGCTCGTGTAGCCACGTTTGTAGGGTTTAAAGCTCCTCTTCTTCATCCTCCGTTTAACCCCCGCTCTGCAGCCTCACCATCTCCTCAGCTCCTCCGGTATGGAGGGTCTCTCTCCAGTCAGGATGCTCGGGTGCCTCAGGGCGATCATCTGATCGCGGGTGTAAACAATGCGACTCGCCATCGCCATGGAGACCCGTGCAAACAAAAAATAAAAAGTGCTCAAAAACGCCAAAAAAGTATTTAGGCGATGTGAACAAAGTAGTAAGAAAGTAAGAAACCAGTTAAAAATAGCAAAAAACACACTGAAAACACACTAAAACTCCAACAATGATAGGAGCTGCCATGACAGGCTGCCATTGTCGCCGGCGCCATTCCATGGAAATGTGTACTATATGTACCCAGTTTTAGTGGGTGAATTAGTAGATAGATAGATAGATAGATAGATAGATAGATAGATAGATAGATAGATAGATAGACAGATAGATAGATAGACAGATACTTTATCCCGAGGGAAATTCAAGCATCCAGTAGTAGCATACAAACATAAATTAGACATACATTAAAATTAACCTATAGCACAATAGCCATACATCAAATTGGATAAATGAAACTTTTGCAGAGGAATTAAATATGTGCAGAGAGAGAAAATAAACTAGAAAAATACAAATGAAACATGTTCAGTTAAGTGTTTAGAGGTTGCATACTAACTAGTAGTAAATGAGCCTCTCCTGTCCACTTTACATCCTCACTTAGGGGAGAACTTTTGCCTGACTGGTGCGACCCCGTGCAGAGAACTGGAGGAAACAGGTATAGACAACGTCTTTGGTTTCTAGCTCAGGACCTCCTTCATGTGAGCTACAATGCTGCTGCCTTTAAGGTTTCTTAATAACAATTTTATTTAAAAGACTAATTAAAAGTTATTGAAAAGGTAAAGGGCGTGATGTACATTTTGTAATCTGCCAATGTCTGCATGCTGTGGTCCGGCCAAAATAAGGCTGAAACTCGCTTCTTCAAGCTACACAAAGGCGAACGGGCACAGAGTGGTCCTGTTTTATACCTTTACTGTACAACTTCCATAACTATAATGTTTGTTTCAAAAATGCCTCCTAACAGGAGTTGGATCAACCTAATAGCTTGCTTGTTGCAGAGGTCCATACGATGTGGTGTTGAGATACGATCGGTCTTTCTCTTTGCTCTTTTACTTCTGCGACTTACTCCCAACTTGTCAAATATGGCAGCTTGGTCAGTGACGTCAAACTATGACCCTAAGTCTAGAAGAAGTGCACGATTAAATAATTCACGGTTAGTGGAGGGCTAAACTGAAGATAGCGTCTCGGCTGGCGTGAGTCTCTAGTGCGCTTGCTGCATGGGCCACACAATGCAGAAGATCTGAGTCATTTTAAACCTGGAAAACAAACTTTTTTTGGCTTCATGCGCCACGACAACTTCCCCAAGAATCAATAGAGCCTCCAACGCTGTATCCAGTTCTCCCTTAATCGCCGATGCACCGATATCAGCATCAGGTCCGAAGCTGAGCTCATGTACTTGTGATCATCACTCGATACCGCAACCGATAGTTCCTTATAGCAGCGTGACGATGTAACCTCTTGTTAGTGGAGCAGATAGGTGGAGGAGGAGAAGCAGAAACAAACTGCGCTCTCCTGTGGCAAACTAACATTGTGTTGATCCATCCATCCGCCCCGACCTCCTCCCTCTGCGGCTCTACAACAACGTCGTTCTTTGCTCCTGATGGAAAAGAGATGGAAAACCTGCCCTTTGCTAAAACTAGCATAAAAATGTAGCCACTGAAAGACCACATTGGGCATTAAAACTATAAAAAATGTCAAACAGTCGAGCAATTTCTGCTTATTACAAACAATCAAAGTTATTTAAAACTTTATTAATATAAATCGACCAGTTCACACAGCTTTCACTTTTCCCTCCGACGTTGTAAAACAGTTCCGTCTCTTCGTGAATCTTTGATCTGAACGGGACTCAACAGTGAACTTGTGAAGCCTGGCAGTTTGTGTGTTCACTTCCTGAGCAGTTTTCCCACTTTTAGACGAGTCAACTCGTCTGTAATCGACGGCGAAACCGGTCGACGGGAACATCCGCAGCTGACGCGACAGATCCTTTAGTTTCATCCGGAAGGGCGGTCTGAGAAATCCATGTCACGTGTTCAAGTCCCTCGAAGGCATCAAAACTGGGGCTTAAAAACTTCCTCTCTGTACCCGACATTGGCAACATTATCCACTGCACTATAAAGAGAGTGTGTGTGTGTGTGTGTGTGTGTGTGTGTGTGTGTGTGTGTGTGTGTGCACATGGGCAAAAACATGGTAATAACTGTAATTCAGGGGAAATCTACTGAAGGAAGGCGCCAGCTCAGCTCTGGTCTCCTCTACTCACTTACTTCACACCTCCAGACAAGTGTGTGTGTGTGTGTGTGTGTGTGTGTGTGTGTGTGTGTGGAGAGAGAGAGAGAGAGAGAGAGAGAGATTCACTTGTCTTTCATCATTAATTTTCCTTTGTCTGCTTTGGAATATATCCAGAGAGAATAGAAAGAGTAGATCTGAATAGAGTTGGGTGGGTGTAGCTTTCATTCAACCAGACACACACCTCTCTCTCTCTCTCTCTCTCTCTCTCTGTCAGCGCGTGCCTCTCCGGTTGGAGCAGCACACCGCGAGCCTCACTCACTCCCTCACTCACTCACTCCCTCACTCACTCTCTCCCTCACTCACCGGGCTGCACGAGACTCTTCTTCCTCACCACCAACATCCTCCTCCTCCCTCCTCTTCTTCCTCCTCCCTCCTCCTCCTCGGTGTGGATGGAGGGATGCTAACGGGAGAGCTTCATCATCATCATCTTCTTCATCACCGTGCATCATCATCATCATCATCATCATCAGCACCACCACCATCCTCCTCCTCCTCCTCCTCCTCCTCACCGGAGAGAGCAGCAGCAGCAGCAGCAGCAGCAGGAGCAGCTCTCCGTGGGCTAAAAAAGTTAAGGAGGATCCGGTTTAATAACGGAGCACCGGAGGGGGCTCGTGCCCGGCGTTAACCCGGGATAATCCGCCTTGACACGGTTGATTTCCACTTTGGACTCCATGGAAACGGATCCGGTGCAGTTTTCTGAAGGGATTTATTGTGCATTTACCGGATCACTCCCGGTCTCGCGCTCCACAGAGGTCCCCGGTACTGAAACTGATCTCCGGTGTGGTTTTTAATCTCTGACGTGACGGGGTGCCCCCCAGATGCTGTAACGGATTCCTGGTGGTTAAACGGATCAATAACGGATTTCTGTCGTTTAACAGCCAACTCCAGAGCGGATTTTTTTCTGCGTTTTTAAAACTGACACCTAAACGGATTTCTGTCGGTAGTGAAACGGATCCCCGGACAGTCCCGGGTGGACCTGACGGTTCACTCACCGACGGTAGAGAAGAGGTATAAAAGCAGGTGAAAGCTGCCGGTTTTAACGGGGGAAAAAGGGGGGGGGACTGAAGTAAGTCTCCAATAACGGATCACCACCCGAGGGGAAGAAACGGACCCGGGAGTCGCCGCTTCCCGACGGGGGGTGGGGGGGGGGGGGGGCCGGAGAAGAGAAGTTACCGGAGGAGTTAATGATCGGACACCCTTCATCATTAGGCTGCTCTCACTAACGGGGATGGACTGATTGATGGATTTTTAACGGATAAAAAAACCCGCCTCCTTCTCCAATTTTCTGCTCTTTTTCTCCCCCCTTCCTCCCCTTCCTCTCCTCCTCTCCCCCCAGATTACACAGAATCGATACATTCCGGGGTATCAATCATTTTAAATCCGTTTTCCATCCATCAGCCTCCAGAGCCGTACAGCTGGGATCGTTTAGACCCAGTGGAATACCGAGTGAATGATCTCCTCCACGGTGGAATAAACCCACATGCTGGCCGTAAATTATCCACTTAACCCCCCTCAAGAGAGAAAGAGGGAGAGAGACATAGACAGAGACCGCAGTGAGGGAGTTATTACCTTTTCATTAAACTAAACTAAAAGCATTTAAACGGCAGTAAAACACTATTCTGTAACTGTGTCAGACTGAGAGCCTGTGCCTCCGTTTTCCAGCTTGAAGGTTTTATGTAAAGAAATTAACCAGGAAAATCCCTTTTAAAATCTCCTTAAATATTCCTATAACAGGATTCTGAAAAATCTTTATGTGACAATAAATGTCTGTTTGAAAAATTGTGTGGTGACTTTTCCACATAAGAGTGACTAAAAGCTGAGCTTAATCAGTCCTTGTCACATATTGTGTGAATTTCTTGACAAAAATTCAAATTCTAATGTTTATTGTAATAAAAAAAATTAATTAAAAATATTGGCTGTTCATGTGTCCCGTGTTTAAAACTGAAATGTAATCAAAATAGTCTTCGAGATACTTCCAGTACATCTGTGGCTCCTAACGCTGACCTTAATGTTCTGCGATGTGTTTTTCATCTCCCACTGTATCATCATAATAATCCCATAATAGTCCGATAGGGGTTTATTTATGCTTCACTGCAGGTCTGGAGGAGCTTTAACTCTGAAGAAATTAACTTTACAGCAACCTGGGGACAGAACCTGCTGCTTTAAATCTCCAGTGTTAGAGTGACCATTTCTGAAGGTCTAAAATGAGGATCTCCATCATCCAAGAGTGATTTTAATGCATAATCTGTGAACTAAACTGTGACTTCGTTGATTCCCATTGTATAGGGTCTTAACAAGGCTTTATTTCCAGTCTAACACCTCTAACTGTGGTGGTTTAGAGTTTATCTTACACAGCTGATTCCCAGTGAAAGCCTATGGATGGTACGCTCACTGTATAGCCACATCCTCAACAGCATACCTCCTCCTCCTCCTCCTCCTCCTCCTCCTCCTCCTCAACCTCCTTTAGAACTTGAAATCGAGCCATGCAGCATTGATTTTTTTCTCCTCACCACAAAACCAAAACGCACATGACCATCTCATCCTTTCTGTTTTGTCAGTTTTGTTGTCTGAAATGTAAGACGTGCTGCAGTGTTGATTTTCTACCTCCGACTCAGAGCTGAAGGACGTTCATAGTGTTCTAGCAGTGGTTGAGGTCAGAGTTCAGCTTTTCAGAAATATAACTGCTGGAGTTTCAGCATCAGTGGCTGGAGGCTTGACAGACTGAGAACTGGAATCTTTGGGACGAACCAAACACAAGGACATCTCTTTCTGTACGTTAAATCGTCTCTGAACTAGCTGGAATCTGCCTCGAGCATAAATGAATGTTTTTCTGAATCAGAACTTGTTTCTGACTCTGAACTTCGAGAACATTTCTTTGCCGTTAGAGTGACACGTAGCTAAATGGGTCTGAACGACAGCAGCCCGGGCGCCATGCGGAATGGACGTGGCCTCTCGGACCAGTGGGCAGAGTCAGTGGTGGTCCGGCCTCGAACCACCGAGCGCCACATCACAGTGCACAAGCGGCTTGTGCTGGGCTTCGCCCTGTCCATCCTCACCCTCATCATAGTCACGGCGGTGGCTGTGGTGCTCAGCGTCCGCTTTGAGGAGTGCGGCGGACGGGATCGTGATGGAGTGACAGGGGAGTCAGGTTCACGAGGCAGTGGAGGGTCAGCAAAGTTGAACGGGAGCAGAGGGGAGAGGACGGGGGAGAGGGGGGATGAGGAGACGGTCCAGCCATGGAGGAATTCACGGCTTCCGGGTTCGGTGAGGCCGCGACATTACGACCTGCGGCTTGCTGTCTACATGGACAACTTCACCTTCTCCGGAGAGGTCAGCATTGAGCTGGAGTGCATCAACGCCACCCGATTCATCGTGCTGCACACTGACCGACTTGAGGTAAGGTGGCCTGCATTGGCAGAAATCTGTGTCAGGAGTTTGGTAAACATGAATCATTAAGAACATGTACGCTCAGTGATATCTGTGATACCCAAAATTTGGCTAACAGTTTGCGCTTACCGATGGAAGTCGGAAGATTCAGCTACATACTTTAGATAGATAAATAGTTGGTCTTGGGAGTTTAGTGACCTTTCGACTACTTGCAGGTCGTGCAGGGGCTATACTAGTTTAATCTGAGGTAAAATGGATACAAAGATGAAAGAACCAGTGCTTGGTTCTGCTTGGTGCTTGCAATTATTGTTTTAATGCCATTATCACGACAACAAAGGGTTGTTTCCTCCTGTTACTTCAAATGTTTATCAGAGATCAGGAGTGTCATTACAGCACGCATATCTGGTGCGTTATAGATGTAGCATTGGAGGACTGACATGCAACTTGCAAGTAAATTAGTTATTTTCATACGGACCAACATGAGCTAGCAGCAAGGAAAAAGTGCATCGAAAGAATCTGGACATTGCAGGAATAAATTCTTCTTCTTCTGATACATTCAGTCAGTAAACCAGAATATTAATGACTTAAATGAACTCTCAGATGTAAATTCTGTAAGCAACTCTTTTCAGTTCAGTTATGAATCCTTCCAGACAGTCATGACAACAATCTTAAAGGCTGAAACACAAATTTTTAATAAGTAAGTATCCCGTGATCTTGAGAGTCTGACCTTTGTTTTTCTGAGATGACACAATGAAAAGACAATCGCAAGCACGGCCGTTTTTGCCTTCTCCAGAAAGCTCCATTGGTGTTTCTTGTCAATTGGCAGAGTCAGCAGTAATGTCAAATTGTGTGGTGAGATGCAAGTTTTTGAGTCTCTAGTCGGCACTGTCATCGCTGTCAAGTTTGCAATTGGACAACAGCAAGAATTCTTGTGTCAAAGGTCACCAAAGTTGAGCTTTACATGAAAGCAGCACATACAATTTATTGTCTTTGTTAGCAAATCTCTCAATCATGGAGATTCCTTTGAAATCAATTGAGTTCAGTCTGAAATCTCACTGTTATAAATGCTGCTGTGACCGAGCTCTTCTTACCAGCCTTACCAGGAAGAGCCCCTTTGATCCCTTAAAATCCAAATGACTCATCCCTTAGCAGGAATGTGCTCACTAAATTTTATGGATATCACCATATTTTATTTTAATTTCTTGTGTACATGAGGGAAATTTGGTTTCAGGGCTGCGCTAGATGAAAGGTCAGGGTGTCAGCAAAGTGGATTTCTGAAAACACTACTAACCCTTACCCTATAGGTCTAAACTGAACTTGGTTGAAAAGTTTTCTAGATGTCTTGAGTTAGATATTTAGCAGTTTTGTGCATCTCTGAGTGCATCCAAACCCGTATGTAAATGGTCCACCCACCAACCACCCGAACAAATAACTTTGTCCGATTTAGAGACCTGAACCCGCATGAACATTTCACTCCACATCTGCTTGTCCCTGTAGGATATATTGCCGTTTAAATCATGTTGGAAATAGGTGATTTCTTTGTGTGTATTGATATGAGCGTTTTCTTAAACAATTTCCTCTAACCATTCAAGAGACTGCTTTCAGTAATTTTAAACGTTTCAATGCACAAAATAATGTCACTGCAGCAAATATCGATATTATTTGAGCAACAAAACTGAAAACTATATCTATAAACTTGACAGGACAGAAGAAACTCTTGAGAGGAAAACAAACTTTTAGCCTGTGAAATAAGTTTGTTTGACAGCTCTGTATTCTCTCTACTGAAAAAAGATGGTGATTTTATGTGTAGAAAATAAATGTTTTCAGATGATGCTCAGATGTGACTCTCCATCTACCAAACCCTGAACTTTCAGTGCCTGTTTCTGGAATCACAGTTCTTCAGAAGGTGTAGCGTTGATGTAGCTGTAGTTTCTTGCTCACAGGGGTACCACAGTGCCGGTAGTTGTATGCAGTTTGATACCGTTGATAACTTTCCTGATGATTCTTTCCAAACAAAGCTCCTTGTTTGCATCTGCAAGTCTGCTCTCTGTGTTGGAAAACAAACCCGCTCTCTAACAAAGAATGTTTATTTCTAGATTTGGCCTCAGAGATTTCCTTAACGAGGCTAATTAACCGTCAAAGTTGCTGTTTCAGCCAAATTTTCGAGACGAGTGCGTGGTGAGAGAAAGCCTCAGAGAAACGCCTGAGCAACGTGATTTTTCAGGCCGGTCATCTCGGCTAATGTGTGAGAGGGATGAATCTGTCTAATTTGGGCAGAGGCCAATTAAAAACCCTGCAGCTCCGTTTTCTGTTTGTGTGCGAGCGCACTGTGAATTAAGAGGTGTTGTTGGGCGCCAGGCAGGTCTCCTAAGGTACCCTCAGAGTCAATGCATTATTAAAAGAAAAATTGCCAGGGTGTGAAAAGGCCAAAAACACAAATGTGGATAAAAATAAAACCCGCTGGTTGAGAAAGGGACAAAAAAAAATATATTCCTGCGAGGAGGGCTTTATTCTCACAGCCAAAGAAATGTCACAAGTACAAAATACATTCAGCAGCCAACAAAACCAAAGTAGAGAAGTGCTTAAAGCATCATTGTGGTGGTTTTAAATGTGCATGTTTTATTACATGAACTACAAATCTTCAATAATTCCTGCTGAGCCAAACATATCATCAGTTCTTAGACTGATTCCCTTCTCCCTGAACAATGATTGGTGTCAGTTTATGTCAATGAACTAATGAACTTCTCGCAACATCAAGTGGCTCTGAAGGTCAACCCCAGAGGCACATGACTGACCGGGGAGATTTAATCAAAAAGGACATCATTAATAAAGATATTCAAACAGGAACAATCTTAGGGTGAGAAAAGGTCTTGAGTTCAGCTGAAAAATCAAAACAATCAACAAACAGATTATGTAATTAAAAGACATTTTGGACGAGAGGGACGTTTGAAGGCATCACGAAGTGTGGCGCTGCGTTCGCTGACTCACCAGAATCCCCTGAAAAACATCCTTTTAATCCCCAACGTTTCCTCTCTGTGTCAGCAGCCTCTCTGTTCATATCGATCAGTTCATTCATCAAAGAGCAAACTCACACAAACAGATACAGACGCACCGTCTCAGGGTTTGATTGGCTGAGGATTGCTGATAGAGACCCGACAGTCCCCATTGTTGCCAGGCACGTTCCCATCATGCACCGCTGCTTATCTCCGAGGGTAGTTCCACTGATTTGCCCCAAACTTCAGCTTGATTGTCTCGGTTTCTGTTTACTGAGTTTTCTGCAAATGTCATTATTTTTGTTTTTTGCTTTGCCAGCAGGTGCTCCTTTCATCCGAGTACTCACTCAACCCTACAAACCACACTATAAATTAAGAGTTAATTCAAGCCACTTCTCTTTTCGGGAGTAGTTTATTCTCCGGCAGAACAAGGTAATATAAAATGGATTGGTGCGATCAAACGAATATGATAACTTTCTCTATTCTGGACTCTCTGGCTTTCTCCGTTTCTATATACTGTCAAGACTGTTTGCAATTGATTAAGATCGAAGTTGAATCTCTGCGTGGATATAGTTTGCTACAGTCGGAGAATCAACCAGTCCACTGAACTGATTGTGGTAGAACCAAGCCTAAAGAGTGTGAATGGATTGAAGGTAATTCTGTTTTACATTTCAGTTTCCTTCCGTGGCTGACACATCCCTCACTTTCTGTCAGCTGTGTTGCACCTGATTGGGTGGGACTACTTTTAGCTTGATGATTTTCTTTAATGCAGTGAGTTTGGTGACATTTTATTTAATTAGAGAATCCCCACCATCTTCAGCATGAGCTCAGGTCTAATGAGTCAGGTGATGGTTTGCGGCCTTTAATGTGTGAAGTGCTCTTCATTCAGTGTCCTCAGTCACAGACTTTCGGTGGCGTTTCATCATCATGTGGTCACTTTGACTCTGCAGCCTCAGAATTAAATATGGATGACTTTTTGTTCGCTTCTTTTCTTCTTTCTTTCTTTCTAGCTTCATTTAAACTGTCAGATATACTTTTCCGAGCTACCTGCAATGTGGTCCCTGTCACGTCACCATGGCGACTGGTCCAGCATTTGGAACCACAGCTGGCAGTGAATCAGGTGTTGCTTAGCAACGGCTTTCTGTAAAGGCACTGAAACTGCTGCAAATCTGCAAATTTTAAGAGCAGCGCCTCACTCCGTCGTGCGATGTTTTGGTCTTTAAGTGACTGCGCTGACCGAGCTGAACAACAGAGGGCTCACAGTGGAGCTGGAGCGACTGCAATTTAAAACACGTTCACCCCGTCTACCTTCAAGACCTGCTGAGACACTAAATGCAATGTTTTGCTTGTCGTTGCAGTTTGACCACTAAATATCTCTAATGGGGATCAATAAAGTAATTTAGTCAGCTAATATTATGTGACTATAGAATATGTCCCGAGTTGATATTTGGCAACAAGGCTCTGACCTTGTCCCTCCCCAGGGGAACAACGCTAAGCTCAGCAAAACGGAAATTGGTGACAATGATTAATTTCCCCCGAAGGGAATTTAGACTCTGAAATTACATAAATATCAGCAGCAACAAGTGTGCGCAGCCGTTACTGAACAGCAGTTTGCAAGGATGCGTTTGTTATTTTTCAGTGAGTAAGCAGCACACGCAAGTGTTATCAAAAAGTGGTGACCTGAATGCATTCTCTTCCTCATTAAACATTTGCAAAGCCTTGAAATCTTCTGCTTCCTTGCCCTTGCTGGCACATTACTGTTGTTGTTTGCGGGTTAGTTTAAGGTCCAGTGTGTAACATTTCAGCAGATCTATTGGCAGAAATGGAATATAATTAATGTTAATGTTTTCATTAGTGTATTATCACCTAAAAATAAGCACCATGTTGAACCACCATGTTTCTACAGAAGGAACAAACCAAACACTGGGGGGTTCGTGGTCACCATAGTTTCTCCTTCATGCTTGGAAGGAGAGGGTGAAGCGACAGAGTTGCAATCTGCAACTACACCGCTAGATGGCCCTAAATCCTACACACTGGTTGTTTAAATTAGCATATTTATTTGATATTTTTCCAGTTTACTAATTTTAAATGTATAATTTCACAGTTCATCATTGTAATTCCTGTTCTTCCTTCCTGCAGGTGGACCGGGTGTCCGTCACTGCAGAGAGTGGCGCTGGCGGCCGCCCTGCCAACAGGCCCGGGGGCGGAGCCATGCGCATCCACCGCCACTTCCCCTACCCGGCCAATCAGATGTATGTCGTGGTGCTGCACCGCGAGATGAAGCCAATGAGAGTTTACCGACTCAACGTGAGCTTTGACGCCGCCATCGAGGATGAGCTGCTGGGCTTCTTCAGGAGCTCGTACACCCTGCAGAGAGAGAGACGGTACAAACACGCAAACACTCAATGAAACACACATGCAAACACACACCGAAACACACACTGAAACACACACTCATTTTTCCTGCAGCAGCAGGTGGTTAGACTAGAAAAGGTCAGCGCTTCACATCCACGACATTGATTAACTCGCACACACCGCTCACAGTGTGTGTGTGTGTGTGCATGTGTGAGTGTGTGTTCCACATATCAAACCACACACACACACCACTCACTCCCTCCTTATGAATTTCCCATAAGCCTCTGCTGCAGAGTTGTTTCCACATCAGATTTCTTCCCCACGGTGCTGATGGGAAACAGACTGTGTGCTGATACATTTATTATTTCATGCATGAGTTTGTGTCTGTGTGGCCTCCATCTGTGTGTGTGTGTGTGTGTGTGTGTGTGTGTGTGTGTGTGTGTGTGTGTGTGTGTGTGTGTGTGTTTGTGTGTGTGTGTTTGTGTGTTTGTGTGTGTTTGTGTGTGTGTGTTACCACAGGGACAGAACATTTTATCAACGTCTGTTCCACTTATTGCAGAAACACAAAGTCATAGTTAATTGATGAAATCAGAAGGGCTCACTTGTGATTGGATAGAAGAACAAAGCAATGACCATATAAGGACTCTCTCAGACTGAAACCTTTTATTCTGAAGTTTTATTTAGTCATTAAACATGCAGACATTTCCCTCTATTATACCATGGGTATTTACTATTGGACTACTGGAAGTAGTGGTGGGCTATATGGACCACCTCAATAGGAGTATATTTTTGAAAGTATTTAAAATGACTGTGTTTTACTTGAACAAAATCGTGTAATTATATAATATATTAATCTGTTGACTATTTCTGCCCATTCATTAAAGTCTTTCCTTAAGATTTCAGTCCTGATAAATTTTGGCAACACCTGTGTGCTTTAATGCCACAACAAACACTCATTGAGCAGCTGGTGTACCTGTGCAGCCAAACAAACTCACATTGTTTTAAGAAGCCGGTCAATGAGAATTACAACTGTGATTTCAAGTAGTTTTCCCCACAACAGCAGGAAATGATTAATTTGTTTACCTTGCTGATGATTTTGAAGGTGTGCAGCGTTTCACCTGCAGCTCTTCATCTAACCGCTCGCCTCACGTATCTCAAACCAAAGCACTTTCAAAAAATGACCAATTATATTTTGTTTTGTAGACACATTATTGATAATTGATTGCAGTGAGTGCGAACCATTGCCACCCCAGGTTTCACCAGGTGAATGTTTTCAATGTGAAGCAACAGCAGTAGGATGTTATAGCAGGAACTTACTGATAACAGATGTGGGAGAGTGAACAGGAAACAGAGAGGTTGATGTCAGTGAGATAAAATTGTGATGGATTTCATTGTTTCCTGTGAATGCCCAGTGCTTGGGTAACTGAATCCATTGCATTTACATTCAAATGATTGCTGAATGAAACTGCACTGAATGACTATTACAGAAAAAACATAAATAGTATCAAAAATGGGGTCTGATTTCATAACAATGTTTAGGATAATAACTTAAAGACATGATAAATGTGACATAGGGTGTCACCATACTATTATATGTATAGATTACAAACCAGAATACTGAATTACTGCCCATATCTAAGCAAGAAGATTCATTCATTTTAAAGTGTAAAACATACTTGATGACAACCGCCCTGGCTTTGGTAAGGTACTGGAAGCATCAATGTGTCCAAACTGATTTCCGCACACTCAGATCCATGTAATATATCAGTTTAATGTGTAAAACATGGACATCTAAAACATCTGCAACAAATCATTTTTCAAGAATTTGTTTCAATACTTTCCTGCAGATTAACTGAGCCCATTTAGTTTCATAATGCTGAAATAGACGACAGCGTCATCAGCAAAAAAAAAGTTTGGACCCTAATACTACTGATGAAGTAGTCTCTAATGATATACTGTTTAATATTTAGAGAACTCGAAACAAAGAGCTGGATCACGATTGTTGTATTTACTGGAGCAAATTTTATCCGTGGTAACATTCACACTGTTTTTCATTCTGATTGAAGATTCTGGGTCGCCTGTTTACATGTGATCTAACAAGGTCTCATGTTTATATGTGCCGATGTATTTAATTGGAACAGCTGTGTGACGTGCACAAATTGAATGAATACATCATGCATTTGCCTTCGTCAACGCCTACCCTATAGCATCAACCCTTTCAGCAGTATCGCTTTGGCACTTCGGCTCCATATCTATCATCTGTTCAGTGCAGTAGTTGGTCGGATCCATCATTCTAATGGTTTTCAAAGTATTCCAGTGGTTTTTAATTGGTTTATTGCTTCGGTGAATTTTTTTGTGGACTTATTTCTTTTTTTCGTATTTAAATAATGTACATGGTACAAATTTTCTTTTGATCTGTTTATGATAAAGTTTAATCTACCCCTTTGCAACGGATTTAAATTTGGGCCAGTTAATCCTGATTGAGGTGTTTATATGGAGCATTTTTGTTCTGTTTGGGCTTTTAAACCAATTATAATAGGAATATTAGAGATCTGTTCACTGATGATTGAGTCAACCATCATTTCAACACTGACCTTTACAAAGGTTCATCAACTTTATCAAAATGGTTAATGGCAGTTGATGTCGGTGTTGTTATTTGGTCCATCCAGGGAGCAGGGACATGGTTCTGTTTGGCAGGGAATAAATCCTCCACCAAACCGAACAGTAGAGAGTCAGAGAGCGATGCTTCTGACGGATCGATGAACAGAGCGGGACGGTCGCTGCTGTTTGTACAGTTCAGAATGTCAACTGCACACACAGGAGGCTGAGAGAGATGACCGATAACAGCAAACAAAAAGCAGCGACATGAGATTATAACCAACTAGATAACGATTGATGTGGAGTGGAAGTGGGCGGCTGTGGCTCAGAGGCAGAGCGGGTCGTTCCTTAATCGGAAGGTTGTGGGTTTGATCCCCGGCTCCTGGTTCCACATGTCGAAGTATCCTTGAGCAAGATACTGAACCCCAAATTGCTCCCGATGCCGTGCATCGGTGTGTGAATGTGTATGAATGTTAGTTTCTGTTCGATGGACTTTGCCATCACTGAGTGAATGTGTGTGAAAGGGTGAATGTCTCACGTAGTGTAAAAGCGCTTTGAGTGGTCGGAAGACTAGAAAGGCGCTATACAAGTACAGGTCCATTTACCAATTCAAACATTTATTTAAAGGGAAATATGTGTTTGGCTTTAGCTGAGTTTAATTTTAACATTTCAAAAACATTTGTACACTTTTCTGGACTTTGACTGTGATGCTTAAAACTACATTTTTGACAACTTTTCAAATTTTTAAATTTTTATCAATATAGGTATGATATTAGTCACTATAACATGGGATCTTTTGTGTTTTGTTTTTAAACAATATAATTTTACAAAAGTCTTGATTTTTAGAATGATATTGTGAAATAAAAGTTGTGATTAAACTATGATCTTTGAACTTAACTAACCTACAAGATTACAAATAAATGAATTTTAAACCAGGCATATATCATACATCAAAAGATACAGTAATCGCTTAATCAGCTGTTGATAAATTAAGCTGTTGGAAGTTAAAGAATAATGCAAACTGATGTTTAATATGTGTGCAATTTAACATCAAAATTATCCTGAAAGGTAAATAAAAGGTAGTTTTCTGTCTCCATCTGACTCTACATTGAGACAGAACATTAGTTTGCAGTAGTTCTTCACCAGTCTGGTTTGGTCTCTGTATGTCTTCACCACCAGTGGTCCCATATTCACTGTTAACTGCTGTTTGGATCGATATCGGATCAATACAGCAGCTGATGGACCAGCAGAGCTCGATCACAACACAACAACCTGTTAGTTAAAGTTTAATGCTCCAACCGACAGAAACCTGGTTACTTTCGACTTTGTGCACTAACCTGATTTCTTTCTACCACATAAAAGAGAAACACAGTTTTCTAATCGAGGGAGAAATATTATAAAAATAAACTTGATAACAAAATTTGTGTTAAATGTTTTGACATGTGAGCATGACACAGAATTTGACAATATTGCTGTGAGAGAAATGAGGAAGGATGAAATCATTGGCATTAGCTGCTGAAATAAATAAATAAGAATGTTTCCAGACACATAGTAAGACATTTATATATATATATATATATATGACTAAGATCCATTAAAGGTGCCAATCGTGGTTCATAAATATGTTAATCTGATGACTAACCAGCAATGCGAAAAACACACATAGTAAAAAATCACAGCTGATTATTTTGAAAAGTAATGATTTAATTCAGACAAGCCTCAAAATGTCAAATTCACACAAGTGTTAAGAGACTTTAATTGTCGAAATTATACCCTGCTGAGAAGTGTGTTACATTGTTATCTTAAGGATTAGCTTGATGATAGGCTAATGCTAACACACAAAACCACAAAACACACTCACACACACACTCCACTGTGAGATTTGCTTAATATCCAGAGTTACTATAAACCCCAGGCTGGGCTTAAACGCTTAATGCAGGAAGGGGAAGAATTAATTAGCACTCTCGCTCTCTCCCCCCACACACACACACACACACACACACACACACACACACACACTGTATCACTGGTTAAGCTTGGTATTGATCTTTATGCAAATAGTGTTGGGATGAGTTTGATGTCGCGGCTGCTGTCGTCTCGCAGTGAAACCGGTCTGAACTCCAGCCTGATGCAGTAGCGTGTGGGTGCGGACTCTACTGACCTGCTGTCTGCTGGTCACATGACGCATGACATCACAACAGGATAGAAACGTCAATACACGGTTAATGTATAGGAGACTGTACCAGACTGGTCATTGTGCTCCTCCACACACAGTCGGAAGCACTGGACTATTTTTAGCTCACATCTTTATGGTTTAATGTCCCCAACGTCAACTCAAAAATATGTTTTTGTTCTTCTACCAGTGCCACCAGTGCACATACAAACAGCGTATAGTCATAGAATCTGGATTTTTAAAGGTTTCAGTCATTAA